TTGATCACCTGATTAATGGAGCAGCTGGCAGGAAGTTGCAATTCATGATAAACAGGACATTGTGCCTAACAACCGCATGGGATTCTCTTAATGATCACAACTGAATCTGCAGGTACTGCTGTTGTAAATTAGTGTGGTTACATGAATGTGTCGTTTAGTAACAGAATTCCCAGTCCCAATTGCCATTGGTAACTGACAACCAACTAGATTTAGACAAATTTAGAAATATGTATCTTATGAACATTAAAGGGAAAAATATATCCTTTGATCTATTTTTAGTGCTGTATATGAGGTCAGATGAAAACATATAGGAATCCATATGCATTTAATCTGATCAAAATGTTAGAATAAATTGAATTGAATTCTAATATAAACAAGAGACAATTAACTAGCAGCAAATTATTCCTGAAGCAGGTTTTAAATACAAAAACCATAGTATTCGGACACCCAAACTTCTTGTGTGTCAGACATTTTTTTTTGGCAGCAGAATATATTTGGGAACTAAAATTAAGAGAAAAATTATGGGGTGTTATTTCTATTCACTAACTTGGTTGATTTTATAAAGTAGAAAGCTATTTTAAATGTTTCAAAATAAGCAAATGGTGTGAAACTTCTATGTGTGTCTCATGAATTTATGAAGATATAGGATGGACAAAGTATTTGGATATGTTTGCCACTTGAAGTATTTGTAAAAATAATAAAAGTGAGATATACATAAAGAAATAATAAAGGCTCCTAATAGAAATTATTCTCCATGGACATAAAAGCACAGGGACAATGGAGCAACCTCAGATATAAATACAGCCTCAGATTATAAAACTAATATAACAACAACAACAACAACAACAACAACAATAATAATGACAAATACAGTCTGGCTGACTCTGCAATGAACCATAACAACAATAACAAGAATCTGCCATACAACATCCGAAACTTAGCAAGTATTGATAAGACAAAAAATCTGAATAGTGGACATTGCAATACTGTGAGACAGCAGAAGAGAAGAGAAAGAATTGGAGAAAATCCAAAAATGTAAAAACCTGCAAATAGAAATAGAATGACTGGCAAAAAAAGCAAAGATATCAACAGTAATAAGCACATCGGATACAATTCCAAAACATCTGGAGCACCACTGGAACACCATTGGCATTGACAAAATAGCCATCAGTCAATTGCAAAAAGCAGCTTTACTTGGAACAGTACATGCTACAACAACAATTTTAACATCATCAAACAACAATATCTGCCTTGGGAAGGACATGATAGGTAGATAAAACTGCCAAATCCAATATAAATATCTGGTTGACTGTGCAGTAAACCATAACAACTGTAATTCAGAAGCATAGGAAGGTGAAAATTCAATCAGAAAAAAAACCCTGAACAAGATTTTTTAAAAAGAACCCATTTCCTATTTTTCAGATTTTTATTTAACCTGACCAATCTTTCCTTGTTCCCTTTCATTTAGAACAGTGTAGAGTAGAGTAAAGTAGAGTAGAGTAGAGTTGGGTAGAGTAGAGTAGAGTAGAGTAGAGTAGAGTAGAGTGGAGTGGAGTGGAGTGGAGTGGAATGGAATGGAATAGAATAGAATAGAATAGAATAGAATAGAATAGAATAGAATAGAATAATTGGAAGGGACCTTGGAGGTCTTCTAGTTCAACCCTCTGTTCAGGCAGGAAACCCTATACCCGTGGTGGCGAACCTATGGCATGCGTGCCACAGGTGGCATGCAGAGCCCTCTCTGTGGGCACGCATGCCATTGCCTCAGTCCTCAGCCTTTAGCTGGGTTTTATAAAACCTTTTCGCTTTAGGCCTCCGCCGCCGTGTTAAAAAAAAAGTTCAATCAATCAATTTCTCGCGGGAAAAAAAAGATCTCGCAAAGTTGGAATTGATTGATTGAACTTTTTAGTCCCACTCAGTCTGCTGTTACCACCACAGCCATGCCCACCCAATGGGCCACGCCCACCCAATGGGCCATGCCCACCCAATGGGACACGCCCACCTGGCACCCGATGATACATAAGTGGGTTCTGGGTTGCAGTTTGGGCACTCGGTCTCTAAAAGGTTCGCCATCACTACCCTATACCATTTCAGACAAATGGCTGTCCAATCTCTTCTTAAAAATTTCCTTGTTGGAACATTCACAACTTCTGGAGGCAGGTTGTTCCACTGGTTAATTGTTCTAACTGTCAGGAAATTTCTTCTTAGTTCTAGGTTGCTTCTCTCCTTGATTAGTTTCCATCCATTGCTTCTTGTCCTGCCCTCAGGTGCTTTGGAAAATAGTTTGACTCCCTCTTCTTTGTGGCAACCCCTGAGATATTGGAACACTGCTATCATGTCACCCCTAGTCCTTCTTTTCATTAAACTAGACATACCCAATTCCAGCAACTGTTCTTTATATGTTTTAGCCTCCAGTCCCCAAATCATCTTTGTTGCTCTTTTATGCACTCTTTCTAGCATCTCAACATCTTTTTTACATCGTGGTGACCAAAAGTGGATGCAGTATTCCAAGTGTGGCCTTACCAAGGCATTATAAAGTGGTATTAACACTTCACGTGATCTTGATTCTATCACTCTGTTAATGCAGCCTAGCACCATGTTGGCTTTTTTGGCAGCTGCAACACACTGCAGGCTCATATTTAAGTGAGGACTCAAAGACTCTCTCACAGTTACTACTATTGAGTGAGGTACCTCCTAAACTATACCCGTGCATTTGTTTTTTCTTGCCTAAATTCACCACTGAATTTCATTTTGTTAGATAGTGCCCAATGTTCAAGTCTGTCAAGATCCTTCTGCATCTGAAGCCTATTTAGTCATGATTATTCTGCCTAGGAATGAGCAGTATGCAGAGCTTTCTTGGAATCTTCTAATACACTCATATGATAATTACCAGTTTTACACTCCACAAGTTTTTTTCTTTCAGAACTAATGAAACAATGCAATTAGCAGCAAAGAACACAGAAATATTTTCTAATATTTTATCATGATAAATATATTTTGCAAATCATGTAATTTCACTACTGGGAAGCCAACTTTGTCTTCAGAATTACATCTGAGATGGTAAACTGTAGTAAGGATGCCTTTGGATTTGCTTTGTTAATATACATGAAACTCTCATTCCTTTTGCCTCTGCAAATCTGTTAAACCTAGGAGGTTTTTAATTTAGGTAGATAATTAGAAGGAGTCATGGAAAACAACTTACATACTGAAATACAACATTATAATTTTAAGCAACTTAAGATGGGATTTCCCTAATATACATATTTTGAATGTAAACATGTTTATGAAAACTGTTCTGTATTTTTGTGCTGTTAGTACCAACAAAGCTGGACTTATTTAATGAAAAAATACAGTAAATCACCTGGATTAAACTTTGATGCCATGGTCAATGTAGTGTAAATAGCTTTATGCTCCCCCCCCAACATAACTTGTTCATTCATAACCCAGATTTAGCTCAGAGTAATTTATATAAAGTTCCAAATAGGTTGAAATCATTATATGCTTGAAGGGTGCCAATAAAATTTAGAGATTTCAAGCATCTTTTTTTACAAAGATCTCTTGTCAGAGCTAAGACTATAACTGATCATAATCTCATTTACATGCCTTTTCCCCATGGAATTATCTGGTGAAAGCTGATAACAGAAAAAGTAATTAGAAAATGGATAATGAAATAAAACTCCTTCTAGACTATTAAGGAAAATATGTCAACAACTGCTATCATATTTGAAGAGAAAATTAAATGCTCATTATTGTATCTAAAATGTGTTTCTGCCAGCAGAAAATCAATGAAAATTATTAGGCAGAGATGAAATTGAAGTATAGAAAGCAAAACCAAAATCTTTGGAAAAATATTATTTAAATCATCACAACATTATTATTAACAGATATCAAAATGTATCTAACTACTTAATACATAAGTTGTATAAAAATATTTAGTGATGTTATTTTTTTTTTGGACTGCTGGTAAAAACAAAAAAGATCTTACAAGATTTATACCTTCTAACCTTATAAAGAAACAACAGCAGCAAAAAAAAAATAAAAAAAAAATAAAAAAAAATCAGAAGTTACATTTATAATCCAGAGCAAGAATCTTATATTATTAAATGTAATAAATTGTTTATCTAATACTTCTATATTATTTTAGAAGAAAATGTTTCTGATTGAAATATATTTATTAAGTGTATTGTTAATTATGTCTTGTGGAAATAAATATAACTAAGCAAAAAATGCATCTCTTCTCCTTTTAGAGTGCGAATTTTAGTGGTTTTTCAGACAGCATGAAATAATCTTGTTTGGTATCACCAATGTTTTCTATATAGTCACAAATCTGTTATGCATTCTGATAATCAAAGTAATCTACCTAAGAGTGCTACATCATAATTTTGACAGGTAAAATGCTCAAGCTAAACAATGGACAGCCTATTATCAAATATGTTTTCCCACACAAGATACAAATAAACATTGCCAAATGCTGGAAAGATTTCAGGTAAAACAAGCATCAAATATTCAAAAAGATAAGCAGAAATTAAGTTCTGAAGGTAAGTATTTTCGCAGTTTTTCTCCAAAGCTATCCTTTGTGATTTTGTAAAAGATTATTTTCTTTAGGGAAATATGCGAGGTATCAAAAAATAATAGCACTTTATCATAACCTTTGTACACAATGAATGAATTAGGATTTCAAGGAAATGTAATGGGAGACAGCATATCATTGTTCAGTAACTCACTGATCACGTTGCCATATAAGAGTGGCAGATTGAATCAAAATAATTACTACTCTCAGTGGAAAACATCTGCATTTTAAAATACCGTAGGCTACCAATAGGCATATCCAAAGAATCTTCCTGCTATGTTTCTTTAATGTAATCCATATAGAAAAGTAGAAATTACCTTTCATTATGTTTGGCTTTTTAAAAATGCAATTAGAATAAGTACTAATAAATCGATGTTTTTTCAACAAGCAAATATACTTGGTATTTTATTCAAAATTCATGCCAACCTACTTTTTCTTTAGTCTTCGGTCTTTTTCTGCCTGGGTTCCAAGTTTGCTTAATCCCAGAGATTCCTGTGCTGCAGCGTCGGTTTCCATATAGCCTCCTGTGTTTAAAAGAGCAAAGAGATTTTCTCTTTTTATTTTTTAATATGTTCGATTGGCTTACCAAAAATGATTTAATTTGTTTTCTGAGATACACATATACAGATAAAAATGGTGTAATAACCTGAAATCTATGGAAAATAAAACTAAAGAATGTAGATTCAACTAATAACTTTTTAAAGTACCCAACTAAAAGTTATTCTCCCCCCCCTCCTGTTTTCCTGTAAGGAGCAAAGGCCAAACATTGTCTCCTTGATCAGGCTGTCTCATCTCCTAATTTGAGTTTCTGAAAAGACAAGATTCCCTTTCAAGCCAAAATGGCTGTTCTTGGCAGAAGGAATATTAAAATAGCGTTATTTATACCCAGTTTAACCTAAATTTGCCCCTATTTAAGGGATTCCTCTGTATGACATCCTAGATCTGTAATTGTGTTGTGATTGTTCTGATTCATTTTAAAATAAGGCATTAAAGGCTGCACTGGATAGGAGAGAGGAAAGTTTGATTGTATCTTTTATATTTGCTCATTCATATTTTGCAAATAAAACATACAAAATCAGCTTCCAAGAAGCAGGAATGCAAAGGTGATTCATGTTGTAAACAGTAATTTTAGAAGCTACCCAGGTAGATGTATCATATAAATAGAAAAGAATATAAAAACATTACATGAACAGTGCTTACAGATATTACAAAATAAACCATAATTTTGCATCACTCCATGCAGATATTGTTAAATGATGAATACATTCATCTCTGCTCTCAATGTTTATTTAATGGGGGTGTGGAACATTCTATTTTATTATTTTACAAATGAGAATGCATTTCAACTAATTTATTCTTATATTTTCCTATGTAACTGTTTTAAGATCTTTCCTTAGGATCTGAGTAAATAATCGATACTGGAGACATTAAATTGTACTGTACTGCACTATACTGTACTATAACTAATAAAATCATATATCCATGTGATATGGACAGTTATACAAATATGATAAATAAAGCTTTATGCTAGGGTTATGTAAATTCTTCAAGAAAGATATAAAGTAGACAATTCTTTTTTCAAGTTAGCGTTATTGCTTCAGAAATTGTTTTTAATCTAAGAAGGATGAAAAAATTGACAAAGGAAAAATCTTGCCAAATAAGTCATGGGTGAAATCTATTTTCTATCAGAATTCTCTATAAATTAGAATCATAGAATGATAGCTACAGTACGGTTATGTTCAGTTGGTCGTCCCGTCTCATGTCACACTTGTGACATATTTTTTCTGACAGCTATCCAAGTTTTACTCTGTGTGATTTTTAAATTTCAGCAGATCTATCTGTGAATAGACTCTTTTCACAAAAAGTGGCAAATACTAGCAAAGGAAGCTTAGTCCTCGACTTTCAACAGTTCATTTTGTGACTGTTCAAATTATGATGGCACTGAAAAAAGTGACTCATGATCATTTTTCACACTTATGACCATTGCAGCATCCCTGTAGCCATGTGATCAAAAATTCAGACTTTTGGCAATTGACTCATATTTATGACGGTTGCAATGTCCCAGGATTATGTGATCACCTTTTGCAACCTTCTGAGAAGCAAAGTCAATGGGGAAGTCAGATTTACTTAGCAACCGTGTCACTAACTTAACAACTGAAGTGATTCACTTAACAACTGTGACAAGAAAGGATGTAAAATGTGGCAAAATTCACTTAACAAATGATTCACTTGGCAACAGGAATTTTCAATTGTGGTCATAAGTTGAGGACTATCTGTACATTGCACCAAGGACTCAACAGCTCAATCCTAAACTACATATATTCTCTTATATTGCAAGCTTAATATATGTCATTTAATCACTTAAGAAAATATAATTCTATGATAATAAATATGATTGATGATAGCAGAATGACATGGAAAAAAAATTAATCATTTTAAAAGGCAGAAAAGCAAAATGAAACCATGATCTGAACCTTACTTAGCTGTCCAAGTCGTGCCTTCTCTTTTTTACCAAACAAGCGCCCAATTGAAGACTTTATTCCTTTCTTCTTGGGAGCTTTGTGCAAGGAATCCTGGCTGCTATTGACACTGCCAAAGCCAATACTTTCTGGTTCCAAGGATGCAGTCAAACTACTAAAAGAGACACACAAAAATTATTGTCCTGATGAAGTCCCATCATGAAGTCCACAACTTGTCTGTTGAGGAAACAAGTTTTATGAAATCTAATGAGAGTGTCTTAGTAATTGGAAATAATAATCAAATTAATTTCTGGTATGTATTGTGATAATACCAAAATCTTTCTGGTATTATCACAATATTTAGAACTGCACATTTTTTTCATGTTTTAATCTTGATTGAAGTAAATTAATGAAAAGACAGCAGATATAATTTATCAAAACTCTGTTAACATAACTATGGTTAGAAACATTTTAGAATGCTTTTTATAAGAACCAAATGTCCGTCCATCCATCCATCCATCCATCCATCCATCCATCCATCCATCCATCCATCTGCCCATCCATCCATCCATCTACATGGAAGGTATTTCTATGTATAGGTATGATATCAGATTCTTAACTCAAAACGCAAATCATATGTATACTATTTCTCATTTATGATAAGTTCAGAGATATGACAATTATAGTTCACATGATTGACTCACAAATTACTCTTATTGAATATGAAGAATTATGAATCTCTAATAAATATATACTAGAATAGGTCTCCCCTTCCAGTTGTCCTCCATATAAATTGGGACAGGTGGTACAGTGGTTAGAATGTAGTATTGTGGTTACTCAATGTGTGGATTAAAATTAAACAACAGAACTATACAGAAACATCGGCATGGCTCTCAACACTGGAAGCGCTAGTGCATCCAAACTTTATGAACTTGGGAAAAGTAGTCACCTACAGAGATATTTTAAATGAACAAGGGAACTTAAATCTAGACAAGAATTAAAAGAAAACAGGGTACAATTGGAATGGTGGGCATACCTGCAAGTTCAGTCATGTTATAAGAAAGACAAAAAGGAATGGGGTATACAGAGAAATCTGATAACACTTGATAAAATATTATTAGGAACGGATGAGAAAGCAATCAAAAGAACATATAAATATTTATTGGAATATAAAATAGAAGAGGAGCAGGTTAAAGAAGTGATGATAACATGGGCCCAAAATTTTGGATATAATATTGACCTAGACAAATGGCAAATGTTATGGGACAGAAATAGAAAACTAACCTTGGCTACCTCATATAAAGAGAATCTGTACAAAATGTTTTACAGGTGGCATTTCTCCCCAATAAGATTGGCAAAGATGAGAAAAGATGTATCACCACAATGTTGGAAGTGCAAGAAAATGTTAGGCACCTATTATTACATGTGGTGGACCTGTTCCAAAGCCAAAGAATTTTGGCGGCTAATAAAGACATGCCTGGAGGAAATGTTGGGATTGAAGATAGATCCCAGACCAGAATTGTTTTTATTGGGAATGACAGATGGGAAGTTCAACAAAGGAGAGACATATCTAATGTTGCATATTATAACAGAAGCTAGGTTGGTGTATGCCCAAAACTGGAAAAACAGAAATTCCCTGGTGGAGAGTGAACTAATTAATTTTTTTTTTATATGTGCAGAGATGGATAGATTACCCTTAGAAATTAAAGACAAGGATGAAACAGAGTATTATGAAGTTTGGGATAAGATGTATTATTGGTTAGACTCAAGGAGAAAAAGTCAGAACAAAGAAAGCTCGTCTGGAAGAGAGAAAGTGTAGATTTTCAACCTCAAAGTGAGTGTAAGATAGAGATCAGAAAGAATATGAAATAAGAATGGAAATGGAAGTTATGTTATAAATAGATGTAAATATATATGTAAATATATAAATATGTAAATAGTATAAAATGCAATATGTAAATGGTATAAAAGATCAATGACTAGGAAGATATATGGCATATGGTATATGGTATAGTATGTATAGCAAAATAACAGCCAGAAAAGTCACACTGTGTTCAACCTGTTTTTAAATGTTTACTTAATAAAAACTATTATATATATAAAAAAGAATGTAGTATTGCAGGCTAACTTTGTCCACTGCCAGGAATTCGATCCCAACCGGCTCAAGGTTGACTCAGCCTTCCATCCTTCCAAGGTTGAATAAAAAGAGAACCCAGATTGTTCGGAACAATATGTTCACATTTGTAAACTGCTCAGAGAGTGCTGTAAAGTACTATGGAGTGGAATATAAGTCTAGGTGGTATTGCTATCTACTAAGAGCAACTAAAATTTTGGGGTTTTGTTTTATTGATTGAAACTGATAAGTGTAACTATTTGTAATATATCCTTAAAGGTGTCAATTCTCAGATCTCAACTTCCCCTTTTTCCTGTTACTGCTTATAAAACCTTTCTTCCTTAGCCATCCTTTAATTTATCTTTCTTAGTGGCAAGGATATACAGATACATAATAATAATAATGTGCTCTAGAGAGCAAAATCTCCAAATTTGGCCTTGCCAACATGCAATATTTAATTCTTCAATTAGGATGAAAGTGAAAATAATTATAGTACTTTTTTACAGTCAAACATAAGTTCTTATACAAACAAACCCTCCCATCGTGGATTTTTGTTATGTTATAAAAAAGCAAAAAAGTTTAAATCATTTTTATTATTTTTTTTCAAGGGCTATTTTTTTAGAAATTCCTTCTACTTTCTGAATTCATTAGGCATCTCTCTACTTCCTCCAGGCCTTTTTCCCCTCCACTAGGGCTGAATTACTGTTTTTCCCTTGAGGTATGAAATTTCTTTCTCTGACTACTTCAGAAATATTTTCCTTACACTGCTAATTCCCCATCACCAAACATCCATGTGTAAAATACTGGCTGTACTAGTTATATTAACTCTCTTCATAACAAGTGACATGGCAAGCTAGAACAATGTATTTTAATTACACTCTGATCTGTTTACTTATAATCCATAAAAAGAAAATATCAGCAAATGATCATTATCCAAAAGAGTGTAAAATTAAAGACCAGTTATTCAAATAGAAAACATATCTGAAAAACTGATCTAAATAAATTTCAGGACAACTGAGTTTAACTGGCATATAGCAAAAGTCATGTAAAACTCAACTTGAAACTCAAGTGGATGAATGCTCTTAAAAGATACACAACATATGGCTGTGCCAAACAAACCAATTCCTACCTTCTGGCATCATTGTGGTATGAAGAAGGTAGAGTGTGAGTCATTCTAATGGCTCTAGGGGTTGGTGGAGGAGAGGTTTCACATTTTATTGTGGCCTTGTCTTCATGTCCATCTTCTTCAACTATTGCAATCTACAAGTAAACAGTTTTGTAAAATGCAGGTGAAAACCCTTTAAAGGTGTTGGGAGTAAAAAAAAAAAAACCTACCGGAAAGCCAACTCCTTTCCAAGTAAGGAAATCAATCAACCAAATACACAAATAGCATTCCATTCCTACAAGATATGGAATAAAAGTGCTAAACACAAGTTATACAATGATAGGAATATAGTTCCAATTTCCGGGACTGAATATGGCATTAGGTACACATTTAGTTCTTGCTATTGTTGTTGCTATTGTTGCTGCTATATTATTATTATCGATCATCGCACAGTCAGCCAGATGTTCAGACTGGATTTGGCATTTTGTCTACCTATCGAGTCCTTACCCAGGACCTGGGATAGGCAGATGTGGATGTTTGATGGTATTACAGGTATCGTCGCAGGATGGAAGCAGTTCCTAATAAGGCCGCCTTTTGCAATTGACTAATAGCAAATTTGTCAATGCCAATGGTGTTCAAGTGGTGCTCCAGTTGTTTTGGGATTGCACCCAAGGAGCCTATGACTATTGGTACTACCCTTGCTTGCTTTTGCCACAGTCTTTCTATTTCTATTTGTAGGTCTTTGTATTTTGTTATCTTCTCCAGTTCTTTCTCTTCTATTCTGCTGTCTCCAGGCACTGCCACGTCCACTATCCAGACTTTTTTGTCTTTCTTATCGACAATTGTTAAGTCTGGGGTGTTATGTTGCAGGTGCTTGTCTGTTTGAATTCTGAAGTCCCAGAGCAGTTTAATTTTATCATTTTCTATGACTTTCTCTATTTTATGATCCCACCAGTTTTTGCTTACAGGCAAATGATATTTTTTGCAGATCTTCCAATGCACCATTGTTGCTACTTTGTCATGCCGCTGCTTGTAATCAGTTGTGCAATCTTCTTGCAACAGCTTACCAAGTGGTCCACTGTTTCTTCAGCTTCTTTGCATAGGCGGCACTTACTGTCTGTTGCTGTCTTCTCAATTTTGACTTTGTATGCATTTGTCCTTAAGGCTTGGTCTTGTGCAGCCAGAATTAGTCCCTCGGTCTCTTTCTTCAATTTTCCTGCTCTTAGCCATTGCCAGGTTTTATTATTATCTGCTTTCCCAGCTATTTTTAATGTATTGGCCATGTAGTGCTTTGTCTTCCCATGCCTCTATTCTGTTCTTCATTTGGTCTTTCTTGTAGGCCAGTTTGGTCTCTCCAGTAGTCAGTAAGCCTTCCTGATATACTAATTTCAGTGCATCTTCATCATTGTTCTTCAGATATTCTTCCAAAGCCATTTTTTCTTCTTCAACCATCTGATGTACTTGTAGCATTCCACGCCCACCTATTTGCCTTGGTAGATAAAGTCTATCAATGTCACTGCGTGGATGAAGGGCGTGATTCATTGTCATTATTTTTCTGGTCTGCCTATCCATTGCTTTTAGTTCTGCTTGAGTCCAGTCCACTATTCCAGCTGTGTACCTAATGACTGGGATTGCCCAGGTGTTGATTGCCTTTATGGTATTTCCTCCATTGAGTTTGGACTTTAAGATCTTCTTCACTCTCTTGATGTATTCACCTCTAATCTTTTTCTTGACTTCAGTGTGCTTGATGTTGTCAGCTTGAAGGATACCCAAGTATTTGTAGTACTCTTCCTCATCCAGACTCTTAATGTTATTTTCGTGGGGCATCTTGATTCCTTCAGTTTTCACTATTTTTCCTTGTTTGATAGTAAGTGTGGCACATTTGTCCAAGCCAAACTCCATTACAATATCTTGGCTATATATACGGACAGTGTTGAGCAGCGATTCTATTTCAGATGATGTTTTTCCATACAGCTTCAGATCATCCATATAAAGGAGGTGGGATAGTCTAGCAGATGTTTTTGATGTTTGATAACCATGTCCTGAGTTATTTAGTATTGTTGACAGAGGAAACAGTGCAATAACAAATAGTAATGGTGATAATGAATCTCCTTGAAATATTCCTCTCTTGATATTAACCTCTCCCAGCTTTTCACCATTGATCTGCAACTGTGTCTTCCATTGTGCCATCGATCTTTGCACAAATTTTCTGATGTTTCTACTTACTCCTGTTATTTCTAGGCACTTGATTATCCAATCATGTGGCAGAGAGTCAAATGCCTTTTTGTAGTCAATCCATGCCACATTCAGGTTGGTCTTCCTTCTCTTGCAGTTTTCCAAGATCATTTTGTCTATTAGGAGTTGATCTTTTGTTCCTCTGCTATTGGGGCGGTTTCCTTTCTGCTCAGGTGGAAAGAGATTGTTTTCAACTAGATGCTGTTGTACTGCATCAGCTACCACACCAGTTAGTAATTTGAAAGTTGTTGGTAAGCAGGTAATTGGCCTGTAGTTACCTGGTGTTGCCCCTTTTGCTGGATTTTTCATTATTAGGTAGGTTTTCCCAGTTGTTAGCCACTTTTCAATTTCTCCTCCTTGTAGTATATTGTTGAACTGCTTGGCAATGAGTGGGTGTATAACAGTTAGATGTTTCAACCAAAACCCATGCAGTTCATCTTCACCTGGTGCTGACCAATTTTTGATTTTCTTTGCTCTTTTTTCTACCATTTTTGTTGTTATTACTAGTTCTTTCATTTCAACTTCTGTTTTATTTGCATCCACTTCTTTTAACCAAGCTGCATCCTTGTTGTATTTCTTTGGGTTATCCCATACCTGCTTCCAGAATTGCACTGTTTCTTCCTTGTCAGGTACTGACTGATTCCTTGCAGTTTCTCCATTGATGGATTGGTAGAAACGTTTCTGATTGGATTGAAATTGGAGGTTCTGCCTATAGTTTGCAATTCGAGCTTCATATCTACTGATTTTCCTGGCTATAGCTGTTATTTGTTGCTTTATTATTTCCAGTGCTTCCTTGATCTTCCTTGTTTCTAAGTGGTATTTCTTGATTAGGTATTCTTTGGTCTTCTTGTTCTTCAGCTTCTTTTCTTTCATCTGTTCTAGCTTGCTTGCATGTGATCTTAACTTGCTGATCTTATTTTCTAGTCTAACCTTCCATTTTTGTGGTGCACTGTTTGTTTGTTTTTCTTTTTTGTTGATTTTACATCCCAGGTATTCTGTTATAACTGCAGCTGTGCTGTACATTAATTTTATTATTATTATTATTATTATTATTATTATTATTTATTATTATCGATCATCGCACAGTCAGCCAGATGTTCAGACTGGATTTGGCATTTTGTCTACCTATCGAGTCCTTACCCAGGACCTGGGATAGGCAGATGTGGATGTTTGATGGTATTACAGATATCGTCGCAGGATGGAAGCAGTTCCTAATAAGGCCGCCTTTTGCAATTGACTAATAGCGAATTTGTCAATGCCAATGGTGTTCAAGTGGTGCTCCAGTTGTTTTGGGATTGCACCCAAGGAGCCTATGACTATTGGTACTACCCTTGCTTGCTTTTGCCACAGTCTTTCTATTTCTATTTGTAGGTCTTTGTATTTTGTTATCTTCTCCAGTTCTTTCTCATCTATTCTGCTGTCTCCAGGCACTGCCACGTCCACTATCCAGACTTTTTTGTCTTTCTTATCGACAATTGTTAAGTCTGGGGTGTTATGTTGCAGGTGCTTGTCTGTTTGAATTCTGAAGTCCCAGAGCAGTTTAATTTTATCATTTTCTATGACTTTCTCTATTTTATGATCCCACCAGTTTTTGCTTACAGGCAAATGATATTTTTTGCAGATCTTCCAATGCACCATTGTTGCTACTTTGTCATGCCGCTGCTTGTAATCAGTCTGTGCAATCTTCTTGCAACAGCTTACCAAGTGGTCCACTGTTTCTTCAGCTTCTTTGCATAGGCGGCACTTACTGTCTGTTGCTGTCTTCTCAATTTTGACTTTGTATGCATTTGTCCTTAAGGCTTGGTCTTGTGCAGCCAGAATTAGTCCCTCGGTCTCTTTCTTCAATTTTCCTGCTCTTAGCCATTGCCAGGTTTTATTATTATCTGCTTTCCCAGCTATTTTTTTCATGTATTGGCCATGTAGTGCTTTGTCTTCCCATGCCTCTATTCTGTTCTTCATTTGGTCTTTCTTGTAGGCCAGTTTGGTCTCTCCAGTAGTCAGTAAGCCTTCCTGATATACTAATTTCAGTGCATCTTCATCATTGTTCTTCAGATATTCTTCCAAAGCCATTTTTTCTTCTTCAACCATCTGATGTACTTGTAGCATTCCACGCCCACCTATTTGCCTTGGTAGATAAAGTCTATCAATGTCACTGCGTGGATGAAGGGCATGATTCATTGTCATTATTTTTCTGGTCTGCCTATCCATTGCTTTTAGTTCTGCTTGAGTCCAGTCCACTATTCCAGCTGTGTACCTAATGACTGGGATTGCCCAGGTGTTGATTGCCTTTATGGTATTTCCTCCATTGAGTTTGGACTTTAAGATCTTCTTCACTCTCTTGATGTATTCACCTCTAATCTTTTTCTTGACTTCAGTGTGCTTGATGTTGTCAGCTTGAAGGATACCCAAGTATTTGTAGTACTCTTCCTCATCCAGACTCTTAATGTTATTTTCGTGGGGCATCTTGATTCCTTCAGTTTTCATTATTTTTCCTTGTTTGATAGTAAGTGTGGCACATTTGTCCAAGCCAAACTCCATTACAATATCTTGGCTATATATACGGACAGTGTTGAGCAGCGATTCTATTTCAGATGATGTTTTTCCATACAGCTTCAGATCATCCATATAAAGGAGGTGGGATAGTCTGGCAGATGTTTTTGATGTTTGATAGCCATGTCCTGAGTTATTCAGTATTGTTGACAGAGGAAACAGTGCAATAACAAATAGTAATGGTGATAATGAATCTCCTTGAAATATTCCTCTCTTGATATTAACCTCTCCCAGCCTCTCACCATTGATCTGCAACTGTGTCTTCCATTGTGCCATCGATCTTTGCACAAATTTTCTGATGTTTCTACTGACTCCTGTTATTTCTAGGCACTTTATTATCCAATCATGTGGCAGAGAGTCAAATGCCTTT